TGTGGGTGCTGGGAATCGAACCCTGGTTCTCTGCAAGAATAGCCAGTGCTCTTAACCACTGAGGCAACTCTCCAACCCCCAGAAAAAGAAATCTTGACACAGACATATAGGAAAGATCATGTAGACACTAGAAGGCAGAGATCTGTAGTCCAAAGAGAGAGACTCTGTTAGTTACTCATCTTGTTGCTATGATCAAATACCTGAGAAGAAGTAACTTAAGGAAACGTTTATTTTGACTCAAAGTTCTACAGTCCAGTCCATCAGGACGGCGGCAGGACCATGAGGTTGCTGGTCAAATGCATCTGTAGTCAGGAAGCAGAGAGTGAACAGAAAATCTTTAGGATGTTCCACTTCAAGGCTATGCAACCCTCCCAAACAGGGCTACTAGCTGGGAACCAAGTTTTCAAATGTGAGCCTGTAGGAAACATACTACATCCAAACCTCCTACAGAACTGGCCCTGCCAACGCCTTGACCTCAAAGACTGAGAAAATGAATGTCTGCTGTTTAAGTCTCATGCTGTGGTAATTTTTTAGGGCAGCTCTAGAAAACTGATCGATATGTGAGTCATAAACTTGACTCTTGGACATTATAATTCTTTACCATACCCAACAGTAAGAAATTTACTCTGCATGATGATACAAAATGTATGTGCACATTTAAGACAAAACAGCCTGTCCCTTACATGTGTAGGGTTCTCTGACTTTTTCCATGTTTAAACTTTCATTAGCAAATTGAGATTATGGTCTAATAAATTAATATGATCAATTCTAGAATGTGTTATTACCAGCTGGGTCCCAGAGGTTGACCTAATGCCAGGTGACCAGGGTATGTCACTGGGAAGCCCAAATAGTGTCTGGAAGGGGACTGAGAAAGTAGATATGACATTTGTTCAGGGAAGACTCATTAGTCCCTTCAGTATGCTCAGAGTGGGGTTCCATGCAGACCAACTATGAAGCTCAGATGTGGGCGTAAATGTTCTATGGGTGTTAGCAGACCTCTTCCTCTTTTCAGTGTGATCTTGCTCTGCTCTGGGTCAGTCTTTGCTCTACCATGATGTGTGTTCTTAAAGGATGTTGTAGTTAGGTATCTCTATTGCTGTGATAAGCATCATGACCCCAAGAAACTTGGGGCGAGTCAAGGGTTTATTTGGGTTACAGGAGGTTACAGTCCACCATCCAGGGAAGCCAACACAGGAATCCAGAGGCAGGAATTGAAGCAGAAAGCACAGAGGAGTACTGCTTTCTGGCTTGCTTCCCTTGACTTTCTCAGATACATTTCTTATACAGCCCAGGCCCACCTGTCCAAGGATGGCACTTCCCATAGTTAGCTGGGCCCTCCACAATCAATTAGAGTATTAGGATTCTCTAAAGAAACAGAACCAGTAGAATGAATATTTTATTCATATATAGTCGCTCAGTCCATGAGGCTGGATGTCTTAGTAGTCCCAATCTAGTGCTGAAGGTCTGATGGATTCCAAACAATTGGCTAGTCTTCAGTCTACAGTAGTAAGATGAACTCACAAGTGAGAGAGAAGGCAAGTGACAAAAAGCAAGCGCTCTCCTCTGCCATGGCCTTTTATACAGCTGCCATCAGAAGGTAACACCCACGTTTAGGGTGTGTCTCCCAGCTTCAGATGATCCAATCAAGAAGATCTCTCTCATTTCATTTAATCCCAGAGCCAGTCAAGTTGACACCCAGGACTAGTCATCACAATTAATAATAAAGAAAGTGCCCCCACAGACATGCCTGCAGGACAGTCTGATGGAAGTATTCCTCGATTGATGTTCTCTCTTCCCAGGTAACTCTAGTGTGTATCAAGTTGACAAGAACTAACAAGCACAAGGGAGATGATCGTATCTTGGATCACAAAAATGGGAGAACTTGGCTGAGGTTATAGCCCAGTTGGTAGAGTACTTGACTCTAGTGTACTGGAAACCCTAGGCTCCATCCCTAGCATTGTCTGAACTAGGCCTGGTGATGTACACCTGTAATTCTGGCACTTGAGAAGGAGGCAGGAGGATCAAAATTCAAAGGTCATCTTCAGCTACATAGTGAGTTTGAGGCCAGACAGGGCCCCAGGTGTGGGGTAAGGGATTGGTTGTCACTCCTAACCCTACAGCCACCAGCCCATCCAGTCCCTGCCCCTTTGCATGCCTGGCCTCCTACATTACTTCATTGCACCACTGATACACCACCCATGCAACCTGTTTTCTGTTTCGTACAGTCCAGGTCAGTTTCTGTTATTTGCGAGCATCATTTCTGACTGCTGTTGATGTGCATTTAATTGAAATCCATGAATATTTTGCCATCTTCCAGCACATCTCAGAGCAGTTCCTTTCTGGGCTACGAGGGACACATTGGAGATCTCAGGGAGAACCTTTGTTATTAGCATATATCAATTATACAAAATAATAGATTCCATTATGCCATTTTCAGACATGTATAAAATGTGCATGGATTATATTCAATGTGTACACTCACCACCCTATCTCGTCCCCCCACACACACTGCTCTCTCTTTAGGCCGTAGGGTGGGGCTTTTTATTTATTTATTTTTATTTTATGTGTATGAGTGTTATGTCTGCTCTCTCTTTAGGCTGTAGGGTGGGGTTTTTTATTTACTTATTTTTATTTTACGTATATGAGTGTTATGTCTGAATATGTAAGTGCATGTGTCCTGCAGTGCCTGCAGAGGACAGAAGATGGTGTTGGATCCCCTGGAACTGGAATTACAGATGGTTATTAGCCACCATGTGGGTGGTGGGATTTGAACCCCAGTCTTCTGCAAAAGCAACCAGTGCTCTCTTCCACCGAGCCTTCTTTCCAGTCCCCCTAAGGTATGAGGGATTGAGGGGGGTGTCTTTTTTTGAGACAGGGTCTCCCTGTAGCCCCAGCTGGGCTGGAACTCACTATGTAGACCAGACTAGCCTCAAACTCAGAGATCCACCTGCCTCTGACTCCCGAGTGCTAGGACTACAAGTGTGTGCTACCCACACCCAGCTTCCTAGGGTATGAGTTTTAAATGCTGTACCAGATTTAATCTAGATTTAAAATTGGCCATAACAAGAAAAAAAAAATTGAGCCACAGTGTATCACATACAGATGAGCAGATTGTTCTCTGGGCCCACTCTTGGGGCCCGTGCACCCTGAAAAAGAAGCAGGGGTCCCTGAAGCATCACCAATGCTGGGGTGCTTTTTACCAAGGTACAAAGCACTTATTTGCTTTGCTGAATTTTGCTGAATTTGCACATTCATTAGAACTGGGCGGGCAAACTATAGCCTCAGGGCAAATCTGGCAAGCTGGCTGTTTTTGCAGACAGTACCACTAGGTCTTTGTCATACTCCTTCAGCTATGTTGTCTCTGGCCATCTGCCTGCTCCAATGGCAGACCTGAGTCCCTGCAACAGAGGCCGTCTGGGCAGCAAAGCAGAAAATATTGACTATGTGACAATTGTTAAAACTATTTTATTAATTTTCTGGGTATGAGTGCGTTGCCTACATGTATGTAAGTGCACCATGTTATGCAATGTCCACAGAGGTCAGAAGAGGACATTGATAGGATCCCCTGGAACCGGAGTTATGGAGAGCTGTTAGACACCATGTAAGTGTTGGGAGCTGAACCCAGGTCCTCTGCAAGAGCAGCCAGTGCTCTTAATCACTGAGCCATCCCTCCAGTCCCGATGATGTGACTCTTGATAGAAGGCTGCCAATGCAAGACTCAACTGGGCTGGAAGTTTTGCTTGTATTTCTGAGGTGCACTCTCCAAATCACTGTCCCTTTCTTCCTGTTCACTGTTTCAACTTAATATTCCATCCTGGTTTCTGAATATGTAGAACATTCGTGTGGTTCAAATCAAAATCCATTAAATGCTTTATCTCCCCACTGCATAGCATGTTCCAGGAAAATGATGTCTCTCAAGAATAACAAATAAAAGTCTGACATTTTCAGAGTCTGCTGTCTCTGAGAGAAGATCGAAATTCTCAGAAAAGGCACTGTGAGACCAGGTAACTGTCATGCGTCAGGGGTGCAACAGCAGGGACTTGACAGTGTTGAGGTACACAGCATCACTGGGGGGTTTGGTCACAGGTCACTAGGAGCATACCCAGAACCCAGGTCTTAGTTTCCAACAATGGCATTGGCCAAGAAAATAACGTTTGCCCTAGAGAAATGGCTGCTTAGGAACATCTCACTGTGTTGGAGTGTAAGGAGTTCTAAAAAAAAAAAAAAAATTAGGAACAAAGCAAATTTAGGTCTGGGGATGGTTCTGTGAGAATTTCAAGTTCCAGGCCAGCCTGAGTTACACAGTGATTTCCAAGCCAGTTTGAGATATTTAGCAAGACCGTATCCTAAAAAAAAGTAAATAAATAAAAAAATAAAGCACTAGTCTAGCAAATCCAAGGCACTGATAAACATCAAAATACCACATTCAGGAAATCTGGTCCTTAGCAGGATAAGAAAGGAAGTCGTTTCTTTCTTATCAAAGCCAAGGACCAAGTCTCCCTGCTGCCTCACCTGGTGGAGAAATAAGGTATCATATTAAATCCCCATTCCATGCAAAATACAAAAAAAAAAAAAAAAAAGAAAAAAAAAAAAAAAAGAATCTAAAAGTCCCTGTACTTTGAAAGAGGGCAGGTTTCATCATAAGAGTAGAAGGTTTTCAGCTGCCCTGCCCAACAAGAAATAGCGATGGGGTGCCCTGGTCGTCATTTATTAGCACCAAAAAAAAAAAAGTGGAAAAAGAAAATACTGAAAATAGCCGTTCTATGTTTAATGGAAGTCTTGCAAGGAAGCCTACGTCAGAACATGAGGTTTAACCTTTATTTTGACTCCTTCTGCTTAACATTAAATGTGAGTGTTCAGTGCATGTTCTAAGTTTGAACAGAAACCTCTCTTGACATGAAATTGATAGGAGGTAGGTTTGTAAAGGGAGGGATATACAATTTGATGTATACTGATTTCAAAGAATTCATTTCTGCTTGAATCAAATGAAACTGATTGACTATGCTTAAATTACACTGTCACCTTTATTAGTTATAACTACAAGGTTTTCTTAAAACAGCAATATTTCACTTTCACTGTTTTTGGCTTCCACTAAAGCAATAAAAATGCAAACTTAACTCCATGCAATTAACTCCCCAATACCCGTTTCTTGATTTTGTTAACAAGTGATCGAAAGGATAGATATATCATCTCAATGTGAAAACATTCTCCTTAGATTTCTTGTTTTATTTTGATGCTTTTTAAAAGAGTTATAATGAAGGAATAATTCTTTTTGCTTTGTTTTGGGGAGTGGGAGTTGAGACAGTATCTTGCTATGTAGCCCAGGCTATCCTCGAACTTCAGATGCTCTTGTCTTGGGCTCTTGAGTATTGGGATTACAAATGTGCCACCGCACCTGGCTCTTGAAGGGTTATTTCAAAGGTTAGTTCTTTCTCCTTTCACAAGTCGAGCTCGTAAGATCCAAACATCCTGGGAACATCAAACAGAGACTATGAGGACACATCCATTGGCCTAGTCTCCACACAAAACAAAGGATATTTCAGCCTCTACAAAGGGTTAAATAGGAAAAATATTAATAGTTATATTGACCAGGAAATAAAACATGTCCTAGGACTCTTAATTGCTCTCATTACCAATATGTAAAATAGCATTACCTACTGTAAGTCAGTGGGTATCCTGCTGCCAGCCCTAACTGATTTATACATGCTGAGGACTTGTGACACAACTGGGTCGACACAATACTCCACAGTACAAACTCTTTCCTGGCCATCTTTATTTCTTTTTAATTTTATTTACTATTTTTATTTCATGTGTATGAGTGTATTGCCTGCATGTATGTATATGAACCTATGTCATGTGGTACCCATGGAGGACAGAAGAGGGCATTGGATCTCCTGGAACTGGAGTTACAGTTAGCCACCATGTGGTTGCTGGGATTCAAACCCAGGTCTTCTGCAAAAACAGTCAGTGCTCTTAACTGCTGAACCATCTCTCCAGCCCCTCCTAGCCATATTTCTACTGCCTTGATGTTATCTGCCTAAAGTGTGTTGAAGGTTCTTCTCCTAATATATAATCATGAAAAAAGTACCATGGGTTACTAGTTTACTTTTTTTTTTTTTTTTTTTTGAGGCAGGGTCTCCTTGTAGCTCCAGCTGACCCGGAACTCACTATGTAGACCAGGTTAGCCTCAAACTCACAGAGATCCACCTGCCTCTGCCTCCCGAGTCCTGGGACTAAAGGTGTGAGGCACCACGCACTGCATACTAGTTTACTTTTTAATTCTGTTTACTCCCCTTTGTCCTCTCACTGTTGTTTTGTTTGTTTGGGTATTTTTAGATTATATTTTATTTTTATTTGTGTGTGTATATATGTCTATGTATGAGTGGGTACAGGTCAATGTATAGGGTGCATGTATACCACAGCACATATGTGGAAGTCAGAAGACAATTCTTGGAAGTTGGTTCCTCCTTTTGGGTTCCAGGGATCTAATTCTGCTTGCCAGGGAAGTGCTTTTACTTAATGAGTCATCTCACCAGTCCCAGGGTTTTCGTTATTATTTGTTATTGTCATTATTATTACATTGAATTTGTATGTGTGTGCATGCCACAGTAGCTAGGTGGAGGTCACAGGATAACTTGTGGGGGTGGGTTCCCTCCTACCATTTATTATTATTATTACATTGTATTTGTGTGTGTGTGTGTGTGTATGTGTGTATGTGCATGTGTGTGCATGCTACAGTACATAGGCAGAGGTTACAGGATAACTTGTGGGAGTGGGTTATCTCCTTCTGCCATTGCGTGTTCTGGGGATCAAACGCAGGTTGTCAGACTTTGTGGCAAGCTCCTTTACCCACTGAGTCATCGCACTGGCCCTGTTTTTGGCTTTATGAGACAAGAGTCTTACTCTGTAGCCCAGATCAACCTAGAACTCACTATGTAGCCTAGGCTGGCTTTGAGCTTGCAACTGTCCCTAATGTCCCAGCCTCCTTAGTACTGGGATTATAGGAGTTTGCCACCATGCCTGGCTCTTTTTCATTCTTTTTTTAAATTAAAAAAATTTTACTTATTTTTTTAATTTCATGTGCATGAGTGCATTGCTTGCATGTATGTAAGTGCACCTGTACGTGCAATGCCTGTGGAGGTCAAAAGAGGGTATCAGATCCCCTGGAGCTGGAGTTACAGATGGTGGGTGCTGGTAACTGAACCTGGGTCTTCTGCACGAACAGCCAGTGCCCTTAACTGCTGAGTCATCTCTCCAGCCCCTCCTTTTCATTCTTAATAATACAATTTAGATTTTTTTGTTTCTTGTTTATCTTTTGAGCAACTGATAAGGTATTGTGGAAAGAATGATTTTTAGATTTAGGCCAGTTCTAAAATCTAGCTCTGTCAATCCCTGGCATTCTTTTAAAAGATATTTTTATTCTGTCATATAGGCTATAAGGGACAGAGAGAGGGCCTAAATTTGATTAAGATCTCTTATATGACATGCACACAAATTTGATAAAAATTGGAAAAAGAATATTTTACAATATTTTTGTTGATTCTTTGAGTATTTCATACACCGTATTTTGATCCTATCCGGACCACCTCCCCCTTATGCTACTACCCTTCCTCCCTTGGCTTCATGACCTCTTTATAATGCCCTTGGGTATGAGTCCATCTCTTGGAGTCTGGTCAACCTGCCAGATGTCACACCCTTAAAGAAAACTGACTCTTCCTCTCCCAGCAACGATCAATTGTCAATAGACCCTCAACGAGGGCTGGGGCTTCTTGCCCACCCTCTCCCTCCATGCTGGGTTTTGGTCTGACTTGGGTATTAAGACCAAACACTCAATAAATAGCATCGAGCTGTTCTGATTGTCCCACTGGAATTTAATAAGGAATATAAGGGACATAGAAGTGCTTTTGTATCTTAGAATTACATAGCAGAAATTGGCATTCTAAATAAACCTGATAAACTATAACTTATAAAGTAACTAAACATGGGAGAGTTCATTTAGCACAGTCTTGACAAACCTCAAGCCAGGACTCCCCTTGGATACTGATTGCAAGTCCTTTATATAAAATGGCACAGTATTTGCATAAAACTTCTGCACATCCTCCCATATACTGTAAACCATCTCTGGATTACTTGTAATACCTGGTGGAATGTACATATCATGTAAATAGCTGTAATATTGTTTAAGGGAAGAGTAATAAAAATGTCTGTGCATGTTTGGTATAGATGCAATTTCTTCAAATAGTTTAGTATTTTCCAATATCTCAGTTGGTTGAATCTGCTAATGTGGAGCCTCAGACAAGGAGAGCTGACTGCATCCTTGTTGGGCCAAAGCCTGATTTACAAATGATGTTGGTCATGTAGAGCACCTTAAGTCCTACACAAAGGGAAAAAAAATAAGAATTTCTAGGACCTGAAATCAGAGCATTTTAATATATGGGACACATTTGTAATTTCCTTTGTTTTTAATTATGTAAAGTGATTCCTTATTAATTATATAGATTTCACAGTCACACATATGTAGGTTCTAAAGGAAGAATCAGGATGCTCCATTGGAAAGGTGTGCCAGATGATTCGAGACCATGGTAGCATGCCTACAGTGCACTGGAAGGCCCAAAGATAGCAGTAAACTCAGTGTTTTCAGGGCAGCAAGCCTTCATTTATGACAACCTCATACAAATTGAATAAAACCAGCTTCTTGGTTCAGAGGCTAAGAGGTATGTATGCATTCTATAAAGTGTATATGCTCATTCATTGGCCGTGACTGATAACTTATCTATTGATCAGCAACAACATTGAATATCCACTAGCTAAAAGCAATTTACAAGTGTGCACATTAATTAGGAAGCATGTGAGGTGCTGTCTCCTGCCCGTATTGACAAGTGTGACTTTTGATCTCTGACTCATACAAACTGTACCTCTTAGAAAACACTAGCTGCAAATTGCCAAGAAAAACGCTTACTCATGAATAGCCTCCGTGAGTCTGACTGGCTCCCTTAATGCATCAGTAGTCTATTTTGCATGAATAAAAGACTTTAGTGGTTGAGACCCCAAACTTTTAGCTTGGCATCTATGCCTTTTGAAGGTCATATGCCCTTCATTTCCTCTCACCTGAAGCTATTTTCTACTTGTCAGTCTTGTGCAGGACAGGGTTTCTGCTAAGACCACTAAACACCTAAGAATCTGCCGGTTCTTGGGACTCTGCTTGCAGAAACAGGTACAAACTGAAATCCCATTGTCATTCTTTGTGTGTGCATGTATGTCCACATGTGTATGTATGCCAGTGAACGTGTGTATGTGCATGTTGAGGCCAGTGGACAATCTCAGCTGCTATTACTAAGGTGCTATCCACTTTATATTTTGAGACAGAGTCTCTCATTGGCCTGGAGCTGGCCAAGTTGCCTAGTCTGGTTGACCAGTGAGCCCCAGGGATCCACCTATCTCTATCTCCCCAGTGTTGGGATTACAAATGTCCATCACATTTTTTTGATTGTCTGTTTTGGCTTTTGTGGTTTATTTTTATTTTTATTTTGACAGTGTCTCACTATGTAGTCCTAAAACTTGATGTGTAGACCAGACTAGCCTTGAACACACAGTGATCTGCCTGCTTCTGTGTATCAAGTGCTGAAATTAAAGGTGTGCGCCACCAAGCTCAGGCTGATTTTTTTTTTTAACTTGGGTTCTGAGAGAATGAATTCAAGTTCTCATGCTTACAAGGAAAGAATCTTACAGAATGAGCGGTCTCGCTAGCCCTACATTTTCATTCTTAGTGGGGCTCAGCAATGGCTCTGAAAGGATCTCTAAATAGAAGCCTTTATGTTTTCAAATTAAATCTGAAGAAAATGAAAGCCTGTCATCTTTACTTTGTAATTTCACATAGGCATACCTTGAAGTCGATGTTACTTTCAATCCCAAAGGCTCTATGAGCAATCTCTACAACTTCCTTTTCAATGTTTTCTTGACTGGTACCCTTCACGTCTATATAGTTGCAATCAGCGCTGGCGAAATGACAGGAAATTGCCTGTGCAGAATGAAAAAATACTGGAGAAAAACATTCTATAATCAAGCAGAGTCCTCCTAGAAAGTGAATTATTTTACTTGGGATTTGCTTTCTCAGTAGGAAGGCTGATCCATGGTACTCTAAATCAGTCTCCTTGTGTATAGTTCAGGTCCTCTTGTCCACAGCTAATTGAGAAATTACAAAAGATTTTTTAATTGTAATGTTTTTATACTTTTAGTTTGTATGCTTGTGTGGGTGCAGGTGTCATAGCAAGGGTGTAGAGGCCAAAGGACGACTTTCAGAAGCTAGCCCTCTCTTCTTGCCATGTGAGTCCTGGGGACTGAACTCAGGTGGTCAGGTTTGGTAGAAGGTGCCTTTACTCACTGAACCATATGCCAGCCCAGAAAATATTTTTCTTTCTTTTTTAAAAAAATTTTATTTATTTTTACTTTATGTATATGTGTGTATCGCCTGCATGTAGGTAAGTGCACCCATGTCATGCAATGCCCGCGGAGGTCAGAAGAGGCTGCCAGGTCCCCTGGGACTGGAGTTACAGACAGTTGTTAGCTGCCATGTGGGTTCTGGGATTCGAACTTGGGTCTTCTGTAAGAACAACCAGTGTTCTTAGCCGCTGAGCCATCTCTCCTGCCCCACAAAAGATTTTTCAAACTAGCTGTGATATTTGTTTTTAATGATTTTCTTTTTTTACATTTTGTAGCTCTGGGTGGCCTGTAACTTGCTATGTAGACCAGGCTGGCCTTAAACTCACAGAGATCTGCCTGCCTCTGCCTCCTGAGTGCTGAGATTAGAAGTGTATGTACTATCCATGATGTTTGCTTTTAAAAGGTATATATAGGCAAGTATAATCACATGAGATTAAATTTCCTATATCATAAAGTCCTAAAAAGGACTGTGTCCCACTGTTACTTATAATGGTTTTCTTTTTCTTTTTCTTTTTCTTTTGGGCAGAGTAGACAAGGCTGGCCTGGAACTCATTTTGCCCAGGCTGTTCTCAAACTCTTAGAACCTATGATCCTCCTGTGTCAACCTCCCAAGTGCTAGAACTACAGGTGTGTACCACCACACTGGCTTCACACATTTTAGTCATAAAAGTTAGTTACCCTGTAGAAATTGAGATGGGCTTTTTTCCCCCCTTTGGTCTTTTTTGAGACAGGGTCTCCCTGTAGTAGAGCTGGCCTAGAACTCACTATGTAGACCAGGCTGGCCTTGAACTCACAAAGACCTGCCTGCCTCTGCCTGCCTGCCTCTGCCTCTAGAGTGCTGGGATTAAAGGTGTGCACCACCACGCCTGGCTTTGAGATGGGCTTTTATCTCAATGGCAATAGATATAAAAATTGAAAATACCTTGAGAATACACATCTCAATCAAAAGGGGCATTTAAAGGTCAATTCTGTTGACCCATTTTCTTCTGAATGTGAGGCTGAAATCACTTGATTCTCCCCGGTCTAGAAAAATTTACAAACAGATCTAAGCTTGCAAAGCACTCACTGAAATTCTTCTGGTCACCAGTTAATAATCTAAGGTGATTACAGTGATGCCCAAAACTCCATTTGCTGTGTAAACCTGGGAGCTAGGCAGAGCCATATCAGAACTCAAGGCAAAAGGACATGTGCTCTCACACACTCATGTTACTATGAAAGAATGGTACATATTTTTCCAAAACATTCAAGTCTTTGGGAAAATATAGAAAAAAGGCAAGTTGAATATATAAAAACTTACATTATTTGCATTGCAATGTATACACCACCCTCTCACTTGCACAGGTCCAAGGATCATGTCAGCATTTTATTTAAATTCTTGGCATTGTAAACAGCAAGGATGTTTAATTTCAATGTATTAAAATATTATTTAACTTGACTGCTAAATTTTTTGCAGCCCCTTAAATTTTGTCCTGAGGCAGTGCTTCAACTTGCCTCAGCCTAATTAATCCCAGTCCTGGAGAACCTTAAGGATGAAAGAAGACATTTGATTCCTTATCTTTGGGCTCAGGGAGCCAGTGGGGATGGGTGGGAACAATGTGACAAATCAGAAAACCCCACTTAATATAAAGGTGCCCTCATATCTAGTATGAACCACCATGTTCCCAAGGGAAATGTGCATTCACAGGATTCAGATCTATGGAACCTGTGAGAATCAAGAAATTGGGGACTTCTATGGGAAAAAAATTTTTTTTGGTCCTTTTGAGACAGGATCTCCTTATGTAGACCAGGCCCTCTTGAACTCACAGAAATCCACCAGCCTCTGCCTCCTGAGTGCTGGGATCAAAGGTTTGCAACACCATACCTACCTAATGAAAAAAAAATTTAAGTGTGAGCAACTGGGGGCTAGAGAGGTGGCTCAGCAGTTCAGAGTACTAGCTGCTCTTGCAAAGGACCCTAGTTCAGTTCCCAGCATCCACATGGGGTTGCTCTTGACACCCTGTAGTTCCAGCTCCAGGGGAATCTCATGCCCTCTTCTGGCCTCTACAGTCATTGCATGACACAGGTGCACTTGCAAACATACAGGCAAACCACTCATACACATGAAATAAAAATAAATAAATAAAATGAAATGTAAGCAACAGAGTATTAAATTTTAGCTATTTTGAGGGCTAGGGTTGAAAAAACACAAGTGCCTGCTGAATCTGATTTCTGAGTGGCTAGTTCAGAACAGCAGTGTTTTGGAGCAATACTATTTTTCTCAGTAGTAAAGACAATATAAACCTTTCAGTTGTTAGGCTTGGAATAAGCAAAAGAATTCCAAATGTTATCACTTTAATAATTCAGTCATTGTTTTCCTGCTCTGAAAGCAGCAGCCATGGGCTGAGGGCACTTTTGTTTGGAAGCAATTCTATGAGTGATTATGGTTCAGTGTTGACAGGGTTAGGCACTAAGGTCATTGTGTTTCTGACCGAAAACAGTTTTTTAAAAGGGTGATGGGAGTGGGGTCGAGGCAGGGTGGGAGAACAGGCTGCAGAGATAGCTCATCAGTTAAGAGCACTTCCTGCTCTTGCAGAGGACCTCAGTTTGGTTCCCAGCACCCACACTGGGTGGCTCATGACTGTAGTTCCAGCTCCAGGAGATTTCATGCCCTCTTCTGACCTCCTCAGGTTCCTGCACTCACACACACAAACCCATACACAGACACAAACATATACAAATAATTAAAAATAAAAATAAAGTCAGGCATGACTTTAATTCTAGCACTTGGAAGGCAGTGGCGGGTGGAGCTCTGTGAGATTATGGCCAACCTGGTCTACATAGTGAGTTTCAGGCCAGATGGGGTTATGGGGGACCCTGGTTCAAACTCTTAAAAACCTAAAAATAAATCTACCATATGATCCAATTATATTACTCCTCAACATATACCCAAAGGACTCATCTTACTGCAGAGATATGTGCACAGCCATGTTTGCTCTTTTCATAATTGCTAAGAAAGGGAAACAACCTAAATGTACCTCAACTGATGAGTGGGTAATGAATATGTGGTGCATTTACACAATTGAGTTCTACTCAATAATAACAAAAAATGAAATCATGAAATTTGCTGGTAAATGGATTGAACTAGAACCTATTATACTAAGTGAAGTAACACAGACTCAAAACCAAGCAACATATGTTCTCTCTCAATTGTGGTTCTTAGCTCCAAATCCTTATATGTGAGTATATTTCATGATGTAACCACAGGAACCAGGAAAATGGAAAGAAATCATTGGGGTAAATAAATGGGGAGAATGAGCCTGAGAGAGGGGATAGTAGGGGATAGGTGTTATCAAGGAGGAAATGGGGTTGGAGGAGACAGGGTTATATGGGGGTGGGAGATGAGATAAATAATGCTTAGGTAGTATGAAAAACTAGAGGGGATTGTATTAGTTCAAAAGCCTACTGAAAAATAACATAAAATATGTATGAATCTTTGTGTATAGCTGAAGACTAGATAACAAGAAAAACAGAGCCAGGTAAAAGAAACCTCCCATTGAGTTGTTGGTCAGGGTAGTCCAAGAGACTCCCAAAATAACACAGCCTATTGCCACATCCCTTGATTGCCTCCCAGAACTTGAAGGTAAAATCCTATTGCTGAAGACAGGACACACTTCAGACTCAGGACTTGGAGCAATGGAGCTGGAACTGTCCTGGAAGCATCCCTGAAGACCAGCTCCCATAGAATCAGAGGATACTATGCAATCTACTAAGGGAGAAAGAACAATCAATGGTTCAACCCAGCTGTAAAGCCTAATAACCACAACAATGACTGGCCCAGCAAATTCTCACTATTGGTACAGTAATGGCACTTTTATCTTGGGGGTAATCAACAGCCTTAAGTTGAACTTAAGGCCTACTTAGTAGGAGGAACTCATATGTGTTATGATAAACACAGCCAGACACACATGGCCGGAGAGGTTTATAGATCATTGAGAAAACCCCATGTCTGTCACATTCCTAGACAAATGTAATTTTTTTACTGTATGTTAAATATGGATCCTTATATTTACAGACAAGTATACCTGTCACCACTCAACAAAGAAGCTTCTTTTTGCAACAGATAGAAGCTATTACAGAGTTCCACAACTGGTCAAACACAGAGAATAAGTATCTGTAAGATACCCAGTCCTAAGTGACACATCTACAATGCAATCTCTAAACCTAAGGCTCAGAGAACATAGTGGAACAGGGGGTAGAGGTAATATCCAGCAAAGCTTCCTCATGCAACAAATGGTTATTAACACAGAAAGCCAAACTTTCCAAAATGTAGAGACTAAAAGACTGCATTGAATGCATGAAATCTAGAGGGGGTCTATGGGGGAATGCAGATAAGGGAGGGGGGCCTAAATATGATTAAGATGCATTGTATTAAATTTTTAAAAATTCAATTATAATTTTAAAAAATTCAAAAAGTAACATTTTAAAAAAAGAACAAGAGCTGGGCATGCTGGTACACACCTTTAATCCCAGCACTTGGGAGGCAGAGGCAGGTGGATCTTTGTGAGTTTGAGGCCAGCCTGGTCTATATAGTGAGTTCCAGGACAGGAGGGGCTACAAGGAGACCCTGTCTCAAAAAGACAGACAAAAAAAGGCAAATATTTCCTGGTAAATAAACTGGACCAGCTGGGCATGGTGGTGCATGCCTTTAATTCCAGCATCAGGAGACAGAGGCAGGCAGACCTCTATGAGTTCAAGGCCTGCCTGGTCTACACAGGGAGTTCCAGGCCAGCTGGGGCTACAGGGAGACCCTGTCCCAAAATAAATAAATAAATGGGACCATTTTTTGACATATTCATGTATCTTAAGATTTTTGTCTCTAATCCATTCATCTTTAGAAATACAGCAATCTGAATACATACTTTCCTGAATCCTTGAGTTTTGTTCTCACCAGATCCATGGATGAGCAGAGGATGAAAGAAAACAGTGTCCCCCTTCTCCATCACCAGGTGCACCCGGGTGCCATCCTGCTTACAGTCCTGGACGCCGTGGTACATTTTGTTAACTCCCCCCTAGAACACATAAGAGAAGCCATGTCCACACTTGAAGCACCACCATGACCAAGACTTCAGCAGCTATTCAGCAGGGAAAGCAAGCACTCTCAAACTTCCCCCAATCAAAGGCATGTATAAATTAGAGTCTCAGTTTTTTTTAAATACACAATCTTCTCAGAGATCTTATTTTTAAGTTACATGTTAGGCCATTGAGATGGCTCACTGGGTAAAAGCACATTATCATAAAAGCCCGACAACCTGAGTTCGAGCCTCAGAACCCATGGTGACTGGAGAGACCTGATTCCTGAAAGTTGTCCTGTGACCTCCACATTAATTAATTAATTAAAAGTCATATTTTATACTAAAATCATTTTTGGACCAAATGAAAAAAATTGAATTTTCACTTCCCCTTCATGAGTGAATTATAACTGACTTATTTATTTTTATTTTACTTTATGTATATGAATGTTTTGCATGCAAGTATATAGGTCAGACGAAGGTTGTGCTGGATCCTCTGGAACTGGGGTTACCAATGGTTCTTAGCTGCCATGCCGGTGCTAGGAATAGAACCTGGGTCCTCTGTAGGAGCAGCCAGTACTCTTAACTGCTGAGCTGTCTCTCCAGCCTTAATTTTTTTTGTTTTGTTTTTGGTCTTTTTGAGACACAGTTTCCCTGTAGCTCCAGCTGGCCTGGAACTAGCTATGTAGACGAGGCTGGCCTCAAACTCAGAGATTCAGAGACCCACCTGCATTTGCCTCCTGAGTGCTGGGATTAAAGGTTTGGGCCACCATGCCCAACTATCAGCCCTAATTTTTTAAATTTTAAATTATATTTATTTATTTACCCTTGGTATGTGTGGGGACTGGGGTGGGGGATATGTGTGTGTGTGTGGGTGCGCATACCATGGTATGTGTACAGAGGTTAGAAGACAAGTTATAGGAGTCAATTTTTTCCACCATGTGAATTCTGGGAATTGTCAGAATTGCATGAAAATGCTCTTACCCACTGACCATACTGTCAATTACTTATAACTGATTTAGGCCAGCTTTGCCTCTTTTGGTTAACACAGGCATTTTCTCTTAGGCTTGTCCAACCTGAATCAGTGATGTTCTTCCCTAGTGTGATAGCTTTCCTTACCCAGAATTTTCTATGTATTATCCTCCTTTTATTCAGGAGTATTTTGAAAATGCTATTTACCCAAAATTAAGGGGAAAAAGTACCAAGCACTTATGTAATACTCAAGAGTAAAATAAGAATAGTAAAAAATAGCAAATGGGCTGGACGTGATGGCTCAGACCTTTAATCCCAGCACTCGGGAGGCAGAGGCAGGCAGGTCTCTGGGAGTTCAAGGCCAGCCTGGTCCACATAGTGAGTTCCAGGTCAGCTGGGGCTATAGAGAGACTCTGTCTCAAAAAAAAAAAAAAAAAGTAAATGGTCAGACAGGGTGGCCCACACCTATAATCCCAGCACTGGGAACGTAGAGGCATGAGAAATTCAAGGTCCTTGAATTACTATATAGGGGGTTTGGCCTACATGAGAACTTGCCTCAAAAAAATTCTAAATAAATAGGCTGAAGAGATGGCTTAGCAGTTAAGAGCACTGGTTGCTCTGGCAGAGAACCGGGGTTCGGCTTCCAACACCCACATGGTGGCTAACAATCACCTATAACTCTGGTTCCAGGGGATTCAAGGCCTTCCAAACTCCGTGGGTATTGCATGCACAGGTGCACTTACATACATGAAGACAAAATATCCACAAATAAAATGAAAAATGACTTTTTAAAGTCAGTTATTACATAGGTAATAGTTACATCTTATTAAACTGAAATGAGAATTACAGTTTATAACCTTTATGGATCAAGGTGGAGAATGTACCCATTCTTTGTGTGTGTGTATGTATGTATATAGATGCATGTATGTAATATATATGTGTGCCTGTGTTTGAAGGCACAAAAGCACATACATGTATGCCTAATGTAGAGGCCAGAACTCAATCCAAGGTGTCATTCCTCAGGCATTTTTTACCTTTTTTTCCTCATATATTTTTTTCATTTTTTATTCTTTAACAGTTCCAAACATGTATATAATAAATTCTAGTCATTTTTACCTCCAGCTCCCCCTCTTGTCTTCCTCAATCTCCCACTCAAAACCTTCTTCTTCCTAAGCATCCCTCCCTATGTCTAATTTTTGTGTGTGACTTACTGAGTTTAATTAGAGTTGTTTGCACAAGATTCTGTCTCAAAAAACAAGGTGGGAGGAGTCTTCCACCTGTTTTTTGAGACAGGGTTTCTCTCTGGCTCGGAACTCCCCAAGTAGTCTAGGCTGGTCAGTGAGCCCCAGGGATCAGCCTGTTCCCACCTCCATGGCAGAGATTACAAGTGTGCCCACCATACCCAGCTTTTTCTTTTAAAAAGATGTGAGTTATGGGGATGGAATTCGGGTCCTTATGCTTGCAAGGCAAGCAGTTTACTGCCTGAGCCATCTTCCTACCCTCAGCTTCCTGTTCTTGCTAAGAGTATCCAAACTTCCTTTTGGGAAATAACATTTTCCAATGGGATAATGTTGTAATTTTAACCAATGGCCCTTTTCTCCCAGAAAAATGGATGTGTGGCTCTTACCAAAGCTAAACTAACCTTGAACTGCTGCTGCTCTGAATCTGAGCAGCATTTCAGGGACACAGTCTGCTCTGGAAACCCTTTGGATCATTTCCTTTTGCGCAACTTGGCCAGAGCCTACTTCTGGGGCTTGGAACAACCCTTACCTAACTTCTTTTTACATTTACTTGTTATTTAATTTTATTTATTATTTTTTATTTTATGTGTATGTGTGTGTTGCCTGCATGTAGGTAAGTGCACCCATGTGGTGCAATGCCCACGGAGGTCAGAAGAGGCTGTCGAATCCCCTGGGACTGGAGTTACAGTTATTAGCTGCCATGTGGGTGCTGGGATTCAAACCCAGGTCTTCTGCAAGAACAACCAGTGTTCTTAACCGCTGAGCCATCTCTCCAGCCCCACATTTACTTACTTACTACAGCAGAAGGGGGTACTCATGCTACAGCATACACGTGGAGGTCACAGGACAACCTGTGGAATTCATTTCTCTCCTTTTACCATGTGGGTCCCAGGGATCAAACTCAGATTGTCAGGCTTGGCTGCTGCCCATGATGCCTATGCCTTTACCTGCCAAACCATCTCCCTGACCCTTTTACCTAACCTTAAATTGATGAATTTCACAATTTCAGATTTACTATCATGAACAAAGTAAAATAGTTTCACATAGTAATACCAATCATCATGACAAGAATTCTAACTTGCTGGGCTGGTGAGATGGCTCAGTGGGTAAAGGCACCTACCACCAAGACTGCTGACCCAAGTTCAATCCCCAGGACCCACATGACAGTAGAGAAAAAAAACATGCAAGTTGTTCTCTGACCTCCTCATATGCACCATGGCACAAACAACAACAACAAAGAACTCTTAACTTCTTGAGACAGAAACTCTCTCGGTGGGATTCTCTACTCCACACAGAAGAACAACCCAGTCCCCTGCTTTCACCATAGGCGGTCTTTATAACCTAACCCTCATCTGAGAGTTTGTGATCTTCTGGCCTTAGACCTGAAATACCGAGAGCATCTTCTCTGGTTCTCTGCCTCTGGCCTCTCAGGCTTCCAAAATATCTTTCCCCAGACCCAGAGGTAACTGCTTTTAATACTGATTTGATCTCGTGGATACAACAGCATTTATCAATTCAGTATCAAGAGCTAAATGGATAAGCAAACCATGGTGCAGCCATGCAACAAAATGCTGCTCAACAATGCAAAAAACAAAGCTACCAAGACATACACAACTCTGCTGAATCTCAAAATAAGCATGCTAAGTGAAAGGTACCACACACATACACAAACATTTTTCAAGACTGAATACTATATAATTGCATTTATGTAACATGGAAACCAATCTATAAGAACAGAAACCAGCTCAGTCATGCTTTGAGACAAGATCTAGCTATGTAACCTAGACTGACCTGGAACTTGCCATCCTCCTGCCTCAGCCTCCTAAGTGCTAGGATTACAGGCATGTGCCACTATGCCAGGCTGGAGAGATTCTCTTGCTTATGGTTATATATGTATATACATATATATATATGCCAAAAATGATGACATTATATACTGAAAATAGGTAGTTTATTATATGGAAACTATATTCTGAACAGAGTATAGTAAACTTTTAAAATGTATATGCATTTTTTATGTGTATGAGTGTTTTGCCTGCATGTATGTAAGGGTACCACATGCATGCCGTGTTCACAGAGACCAAAAGAAGGCATAGAAAGCTGGGCCTGGTGGCACACACCTTTTAATCCCAGCACTCGGGAGGCAGAGGCAGGAGGATCTCTGTGGGTTCAAGGCCAGCCTGGTCTTCATAGTGAGTTCCAGACCAGCTGGGGCTACAGGGAGACTGTGTCAAAAAAAAAAGAAAGAAAGAAAGAAAGAAAGAAAGAAAGAAAGAAAGAAAGAAAGAAAGAAAGAAAGAAAGAAAGAAAGAAAAGGAAAGAGAAAAAACAAAAGGCATATAGGATCTCCTGGAACTAGAGTTAAGGACAGTTATCAGTTGTCATGTGGGAGCTGGTAACTGAACCTGGATCCTCTGCAAGAGCAACAAGTGCTCTTAACCAATGAGCTATCTCTCCAGCCCAATAAACTATTTTTTTAATGAAAGCTCTTCTAGTTTCCAAAAATAAGGCCCTATTCTCCCCAAGAAAATGACTTAGTGTGACATCCTCTCTAATGTGGTCCCTTAGATGTTCTCTTCCTGCTAACCTCTAAAGTGTTCTTGTAGTCCCCAGCCCATCTGGACTGTGAGGGAGTTCCTGCCTCCTTCTCGCTCCTTAGCAAGCCCGTGTTTTCCCTTGACTGCCATGCCTCTTATCTGCAAGGAGATATACCATGTTCCCCAGTGCTTGACTAAGTCGCCAGCCCTCCTGAGAGTCTCTGGTGGTCTTTGCAACTGTAGGGGACAATTCCATCATTTTCTTCACTCTAATGTCCATCAATCAGTAAGACTAATTTAGCATTTATCACAGACGTCTGGGGCTGAAGTACTCCTGACTGACCTCTGCAATGAGAGTTTACAATCTCAGATCTTAAGTTACATGTACCTGAGTCTCACGCATTGCCGTGGCTTTCAAACACATGTTGAAAGAATAAATGTGACTGATATTTTATCTGACATCTTCACATTTTCCCTGATCCTAACTACACCATTACGATTGCACAATGATGCTTTGTTAATAGAGGAAAAGCAGTCTTGGCTCTAAGCTCTTTGTGTATTCTGATGTGAAATAAAACCTGGAAAGGGATTCCAATAGAGACTCAGCAGCTAGAACTGGGGATGTGGCTCAGTCTGTAAAGTGCTTGTTATGCAAGCCTGAGGACCTGAGTCCCAAAACCCACAAAAAAAAAAAAAAAAAAAAAAAAAAGCTGGGTGTAGTAGTCTACAAGTATATACCCAGCACTGGGGAGGCAGACAAAGACTGAATAGACTGATCCTTGGGGTTCACTGACAGTTAGCCATGCCTGCTTGCTAAACTCCAGGTCAGTGAGAAAGCCTACTTTTAAAAGGCAGAAGGTGGGGGCTGGAGAGATGACTCAACAGTTACAAGCAATGACTGCTCTTGTAGAGGACCTTGGTTCGATTCCCAGCATCCACTTGGTGGCTAACAATCATCCATATCTCCAGTTTCAGGGGATCTATCTTCTGTGGGCACTGCAAGTCAGGGGTGCGTTTACACACATGCAGGTAATACACTCATACACATAAAATAAAAAATAAAATAAAATAAAATTTTGGGTCTTTTTTTTTTTTTGAGACAGGGTCTCCCTGTAGTCATAGCTGGCCTGGATTCGCTATGAAGACCAGGCTGGCCTTGAACTCACAGATACCTGCCTGCCTCTGTCTCCTGAGTATTTTTTTTTTAAATAAGGAATGGGGCTGGAGTGATGACTCAGCAGTTAAGAGCACTGACTGCTCTTGTGTTGTGCCCAGTTCGCGAGACCCCAAAGACCACCATGGAGCCGACCGATGCAAATACACAAGGGTTCTTTTGCTGTTACAAGCTTAAGCTTGGGCCCACTCTGTCACCGACCTAGTGGAGCTCAGAAGTGATACCCCTTGCTTTGGGAGACAAAGGTTTTTATAGGTTTATTTCAGCAAGTTTAACAAGTAGGGGAGTAGGGGGTCTCCAGCCTGGCAATCATCTGATTGGTTGCAGCCCAGTGCCAAATCATAAAATCTGAAAAGACATTTGGACTTTTAGTACATTCCTGTCCCTGGTTAATTGACCATTGGTGGGGGAGTTGTTCTCTATCCGTTCCAAGTACACTTTTTTTGTGGTTTCTCCTGGAATAGGATTCAGGGCTGTGTCAGTCCCATGGAGGTTTTATCCAAGATGGAGTCACTCAGGTCTCCCACTTGCAGAGGATCTGGGTTCAATTCCCAGCACCCACCTGGCAGCTACGAACCGTCCTTAACGCCACTTCCAGGGGAATCCGAAGCCCTCTTCTGACCTCTGCGGCATTGCATGATATGGGTGCACTCACATACATGCAGGCAACACACTCATACACATAAATAAAAAAATAAGAAAATAAAAATTTTTAAAACCGAAAAATAAAAAATAAGAAATGACACTCAAGGCTGTCCTCTGGCCTCCACATGTATACACACCTGCACAATGTGTACTACATACACAAACTCATCAGCCAAGCAGCCTACCTCCCACTTGGGGTAATCATGTGGCTGCAGGGTGCCTTTGTGAGTGCCTGGGAGCACAACCAGACAGCCGTTATTCCTGTTGATGGTCTCCATGGCAGTCCAAGCACAGACAATGCGATCACTGGGCCGGAAGGGGAAATAGTGTAGATCCTGATGCAAGGGATGCCGGGAAGTCTTCTTGCCTACAACAGAACCTTCTGTCAAAAGGTGCTTATGCTTGAGTCTCAGAATTCTTATCCTTTGCCTGAAAACCCAGAATACTGACTGACCTCTCTCTACAAGAAAAAAAAAAAAGCAATACTATAGAAAAACTAGTCTCAAAAGATAAGCAAAAAATTGAAATATTAAATCAAATGAGGGCTCCAGATGCTCTGCTTTCTTACAGATTACTGGCAGGTGTGCTTAATGCTTAATGCTCTTTCCTAGCAAGTCACACTATCATCATCTTTGCTACATTTTATTCCTTTGTTGGTTGAGATTTGGCACAGAAGTAGCATGCAGCAATGAGTTTTTTAAAAAGTTGGATTAATTACATTAAAGAGAATGGTGCAGAATCAAGTTTGAGTTCTTCTGTGTAGCTGAAGGGTCTCTCAGAGATTGTCCTCTGCAGGATGAGAGGCATCCTGGGTCCAGTCAGTGTCCAATTACTGCCACCGAACACATAGCCACTTCTCCTGACTTTGTCCTTGGAACTCGGTTCCCTGACCATCTACTATCTCCAGGCAAGACACACACAGAGGAAGAGAGAAGTGACATTGTGCTTCAGTCCTGTCACATAAACTTTTCCTGTCATCAGAAGGAAGGAAAAGTTGGAAGGGTAAAAAGCTGTCATGACTGATTAATGCTCCTCATACAAGAATTTCTCAGTGTAGTTCAAGAGTGTAGTCACAGGAGAACCTCTGAAGTTGTCATTAAAAAGAAACCTGGATGCTATTTCTGATTCAGTAAAGTATCTGAACATACATTTTGGCAAGCACAAGACATTTTAAGAACTCAAGGGTGATTCAAAGTAATAGCTTTATTTTGTTAGCCATAATAATGTCTTCAGATCAGGACTGTAGCACCCATTCTGTCACAGCTAAGAATGGCTGATAAAACTTGGAGAAATAGCTGGGTGTGGTGGCACATGCCTTTGATCCCAGCACTCAGAGGCAGGCAGATATCTGTGAATTTGAGGCCTGCCTGGTCTACATAGCAAGTTCCAGGCCAGCTGATGCTACAGGGAGATCCTGTTTCAAAAAGAACAAAACAAAACAAAACAAACAAACAAACAACAAAAATTTGGAGAAATTGATGGCTTAGTTGATAGTGTTTGCCTTGTGTGGTGCTTTGAATGAGAATGCCCCCATAGGTGCCAAGTATTCGGACCTTTTGTCCCCAGTTGGTGGTGCTCTTTGGGGGGGGGGTAGGAGGTGTGGCTTTGGTACAAGCAGCTTATCATTGGTGCAGGCTTTGAGAGTTCTGAAACCTTGCCCGATTTCCTGTCTCTCTACTCCCTGTGCCTACTTGAAGATGTTTTGTTCTGGCCACTTCTGCCACTATGGCTCCTCCACCATTGTGGACTCTAACCCTCTGGAACCATAAGCTCAAACTCTTCCTTCTATAAGTTGCCTTAGTCAAAGTGTTTTATCACAGCAACAGAGAAATAACTAATAGGCCTTGCAAGTATGAGAACCTGAGTTCAATCCCCAGACCTCACATAAAAATGTCAGGCATAGAGGTATGTACTTGTAATCCAATCGTTGGGGAGGGAGAAAAAGGAGGATCCCTGGGGTTGACTAATCATTCAGCCTAACCTAATTGATGAGCTCCAGACCAATGAGAGACCCTGTCTCAAAAGTGCTAGATAGGATTCCTGAGGATGATACTCAAGGTTGTCCTCTAGCCTCCATATACACACCCACACATATGCACATTAACCTACACACAGGCATGAGCACATACACATGCATAACAAAAATAAATTTTAAAAGTTTAGACACATTGAATAAGAGGAGTTTATGCTATGTAAATAATTGTTAACTGCATCTTGGGGGAGCTTGTCATGTGATAACCCCATAATTAACATCTGAAGTTACTACTTCAGTGCTGTTATAATGTAAACTAAGACTTTAAAAAAGTATATATATATTCTCAGCCTGTCATGGTAGCACACACCTTTAGTCCCAGCACTCAGGAGGCACAGACAGGTGTATCTCTGTGAGTTCAAGGCCAGCCTGGTCTACATAGTGAGTTCCAGGTCAGCTGGGACTACAGGGAGACCTTGTCTCAAAAAGACCCCCCCCCAAAAAAGTATATACATTCTCTCAGGCTGGGCGTGGTGGCGCATGGCTTTAATCCCAGCACTCGGAGACAGGGGCAAGTGGATCTCTGTGAGTTCAAGGCCAGTCTAGTCTACATAGAGTTAGAGGACAGCTGGGGCCTCAGGAAGATCCTGCCTCAAAAAAAAAAAAAAGTATATACATTCTCTCATCTAAAGTTTGACAGTTATGCACATGATGAGTCAGAACATCAATTTTACATATATTAATTAAATAATACTTTTGCTTTTATGTAACAACAAAGAATTCTTTACCAGAATCTGGAGGTTTGTTTATTAGCATTGTGTGCATGGCCATAATATTGGGTCCAGTGAAGCACTCCACATATTTCAAAACCTAAGAAAAAGAAAAAGAATCAACTTCATAGGAAATCAGGACAGGCTAATAACACAGGGCACACTGAATCTCAGAAGAAATAAGATAGTAGAACAGGGGGTAATCCCAGCACTGAAGAGGCTGAGACAGGATGATCTTGAGTTTCGGGTCAGCCTGGGATACCTAGTGAGACCCTGTCTGAAAACTGACAACAACAACAAAATAACAACAAAAATGCAGGACGGGCAATGTAGCTCAGTAGGCAGGGCATTTGCCTAGTGTGGACAAGTCCCTGGGGTGGATCATCAGCACCAAAAACAAACCAACAAATGTATCTTATACCTCGACTGACCATATTAATTGCATTAAAAAATGAATAAATAAGTTGACAAATAACAGCTTTACAGCTGCTGATACACCACTTATTCTGTCTTAGATGAGATGTCATCTTTCATAACAAAAACACAATTACCATAGTCCACAGGAAGATCTCTCAATCTTGGTGTCTGGGGAAGATGACTCTTTGTTTAGACTGAGGGCTTCTCTGTGTATTATGGGCTCTGGGCTCTGTTAGTAGCCTCGGTGGCCTGTACCCACTAGCAGCCATTAGCTCCCCATCCCCATTAATGATAACCAGCAATATCTCCAGACATTGCCAATATCCAGTGGGGGACAGAGTCACCTCCAGTTGAGAGCTTGGATCAAGCATCCTATGTAGAAAAGGGCTGGATGGATGGGTTAGGCCCAGCAGAGTTTGGAGGCAGACCTGCAAACTAGCTATGAAGCAAAAAAGATAGGCACTAGGTGGAGTAACCTGTACACTGGCCATTGAGCAGAAAAGAAAGGCAGGCCCTGGTTCTCACCTGGGGGAGAGTGCAGTATCTAAAGAGCTCCTCATTTTCTTGGAAATCCTGGATCTTCAAAACCACTTTCTCACTGGGCTCATAGCCCAATTTTGCAATGGTCACATCTCTTATTACACTCAACCCCACCGGTTTCACCTCCTTCCTGCAAATTTTTTCAAACTCATTCCTAGAAAATGAGATTTACAAAGGATGCCATTACTGTAGGCTCTAAGCACCTAGCTGGCCCTGCCCTATTGAGAGAATTTTACAGATTTTGTGACAGCTTCTCTGCACAAAGTCATCCATCCACCCTAGTACAGTCACACTGATGGTAGGGAGGAAAAAGTGGTCAAGTCAAAAGTCCTGCCTTTCAGCTTGGGGCCATTGCCACAATTGAAATACTTCTCCGGTTAGATGACTAGTAAGGAAATAGTGTGTGTGAGTATGCTCCACCTTATTTTTTTGAGACAGTCTTTCACTGAACCCTAAGATCACTGCATAGGTTACACTGGCTCACCATTGAGCCCCCAGGACCTGACTGTCTCCTTGCTCCCAGCACTGGCTTTAAAAATATCTGCTGCCATGCCTGGCTTTTATATGGGTACCAAATATCAGAACTTAGGTCCTCAGGCTTGCACAGCAAGCACTTTATCCACTGAGCCATCTCCCCAACCTGAAAATTTTTTCTTGATATGGTGACATTGTACTAATACAAGTTAAGCATCTCCCAACGGAAACGCTTTAGAAACAGAAGTGCTTCAGATTTCAGCCTTTTTTGAATGTTTGCATATGCATAATGAGACATCTTAGAGATGGGACCCAAGTGTACAACACAAAATTCATTGGTGTTTCCAACACACCTTATACATAGGGCCTTAAGGTAATTTTATGCAATGTTTTAGTGCACCTTTGTTTTGAGTGTGACCTGTCACATGAGGTCACATGTGGGATTTTCCACGTGTGGCATTATGTCATCACTCAAGACGTTTTGGGGACTACAGAGATGGCTCAGTGGTTAAGAGCACTGGTTGCTCTTGCAGAGGACCCAGGTTTGGTTCCTAGCACCCACATGGCAGATAATTGTCAGTAACTCCAGTTCCAGGGGATCCAATGCCCTCTTCTGACCTCTGCCAGCACTGCATGATGACATGGGTGTACTTACATACATGCAGGCAATACACTCATACAGATAAAATAAAATAAAATAAAAAATTTTAAAAAGGAAAGTCATGCTAATAAAATAATTTTTAAAAAGAAGTTTTGGATTTTGCTGTGAGATTTACCTGATGTGACAGGTTGAGCATCCCTAATGCAAACACTTCCACAGTACCCTCCGCATGCCGGGCTCTAGCCATACTGCCCTTTGTCCATTTTACCTCCTTTTGTCTTAACAGCAACACTAGATATCAGTACTATCAAAATGCCCATTTCAAAAGTGAGGAGTCCAAAGCATATGCAGATTGTCACAGAACACATCATGTTAGGGGGAGGGCTGAGATGAAAACCAGACAGTCTGGCTCCAGAACTCAGGCTGCTAAACACGCCCAAACAAATCACATCATTAAAAGATATCTGAATCTGAACATACAACATCTAATTTAACTTGTATTCCTATTACATATATGTAACACATATTTTTGTAAAATAATAAACAGTATTACTATACCGAAAGCGTTGAATATCATCATCAGATACCAGATTTTTAACGACAAGAAACCCATTTTCTTCATAAAATTTTCTCTGCTCCAGGCTTAGGACATTGTTATCTAAGGTATACCTAAAGGGGAAGAAAAAAGAATCTGCAAATAATTCCCAATTTTAAATTACAAGCTAACAGTATGTACCAAGAACCTGAAATACATTCATATATCCTTTGAGACAGGATCTCACTTTGTAATGCATGTTGGTCTTGAACTCAAAATATCTTAGGCATGTACTGCCACACCCAAATTATATATTCTTTAATTGTCTAGTCAATACATTCTCAGAAGTAATCAAAGTAACAAAATCCAAAGAATCATACTACAGGTTCACAAATCCTGATCTGCCAATGCATTCCTTAAGATTAGAGTTGTGGCTATATGCAGCTACTTACGAAGTCAGGCTTTCCCCTTTAAAACTGACAGGGCATCCGGCATGGTGGCGCACACCTTTAATCCCAGCACTCAGGAGGTGTTTGAGGCCTGCCTGCTCTACATAGTGAGTTCCAGGTCATCTGGTGTTGGGGACCAAGATGGCTGGACTCGGGACAAGTTAGGCATGTGTTGGGAGATATTAGTATAAGCACAGCCATTATGTACATTGAGCTGTGGCAGGCTTGTTTACTTTATGATCTTTCACCTTGACTCAAGAGTTTATGTGTTTTGCACACAAGTACCGAATTGTTCTGCCAAGTCAGGAGGAATGTGTTGATAATTTAGGGAAGATGGTTAAATGGTGGAATTCACAACAGATAAAGGTGGGAAAAAAAAGCTGTTGAAGCTAATTGAGCTAAGGAAACAGTGGCTATCTGATGTTCTACTGTATAAAAAGGCTGATCTAAAATAAACCGGGGCTGCAGTCTCTACTGACAGTCCTCCCAAGTATCTTTTCTCTGTCTCTTGTTTTTCTTTTAATCCTCACTCCCCCTTTCAGGTGCTGTTCATCTCAGCCAGTTGGCACTGGCAGGCATGAACTTTTCAACAGGCTGCAGCCTCTGGTAAAAAGGGCGAGGCGTGCCTCTACAGCTGTCATGTGATGGGAACACTGCACTGCAATGACTAGCAAAAGGCAGCTGGCCAGGTTAAAAGTTTAAAGTCTTTGTTCTGAGAAAAATATCTTGACTTTCTTGATCTAGCGGTGAAAAACAGCCTAATCAAATACACCAAGTATGTGTATAATTAAAATTAAGCCATCTTCGTTAACAAGCTCTGACACACTCCCTGGTCTTGTACAAATGACCCTCTGACCACGCTAAGGATTGATCAACCTGTATGACACATAATATGAGCAACCTTTGTCTCTGTCTGAAATGAACTTTACATGCACCCTGAACCCTGCACATACCCACTAGCCCCTCTTTCGTATATAAGCTTGCTGTTAAAGAATAAAGTTGTCTTGTAGCTTATCGGGAAGTAAAGCTCAAGTCCCAGAGTTGTCACTCTGCGCCAGTCTCTTTGTTCCTGGAGCTGGGCCTCCGACTAGCAAAGCAACCCGGAGTTCCTGATAAGCTGGGGCTACAGGGAGACCCTGTCTCAAAAACACCAAAAAGAAAAAGAAAAACTGACAGGGCAATAAACCTACTGAGTGTGCACCTGTAGTAGTCCCAGCTGTTCGGGAGGAACCCAAGTTCAAGACCTGCCTGGTGAGACCTCACTTCATGAAAAAAAATTAAATAAATTAAATATGCATGTCTTGAACATATACGCACATATATGTTCAAACTGCTAGCCAATATATCAATAAAACTAAAATAGAAGCCAATTTAAATGTGATGTATTATGTTTGATTTTTTTTTTTTTTTTTTGGTCTTTTTGAGACAGGGTCTCCCTGTAGCTCCAGCTGGCCTGGAACTCACTATGTAGACCAGGCTGGCCTCGAACTCACAGAGATCTGCCTGCTTCTGCCTCCCAAGTGCTGGGGTTAAAGGCATGCACCACCATGCTCAGCCTATGCTTGAATTTTTAAGGGTTAGATTATGTATCTTTTTTCTTTTTGAATTTTAGAATAATAGAGAAAATTACAGTTATTGTCTCCAAAGTTTTCCATGATTCTACTAGTTAGAACATTTTCTGGAAGCAAATCTGCCAAATGAGGAAGCTGTTTTATATTCTATCATAGTTGATATTGTAACTATATCTCAGTTACCACTGGAAAGACATACACAGTTATAAGCTAAAATGAAATCTACTTACTGGAATTGTTGAAGGTGGAAACTAGCAGGGGAAATAGTCCCTGACGTGAGGTGTGTTACCTGGGGTAAGAATTAAGGCACACAAAGTACAACATAGAAGCCAACATTTTTTTGAAACCTCTACCTGCCTGCCTCGTTTCACACATGAAATGAGTGTTAGCATAATCCTGGACAGATACATATACTGCTGTTATACTGTTTCATGTCATTGTCTCAAAGCCCTGAAGAGGTGCTGGGGAGATCAGGAGGCTAATCATCCTGTCTGCTCTTCAGAGCAGGAAATCTGATAAGCTCAGTCACTGCCAAGGTTGCCCAGAGGAGAATGGCCCAGACAGGACTTGACCCACACTCTTTACCTTCAGTCTGCTTGATTCTTCCTTCCACTAAACTACTGAGAGACAAAAAAGTCAAAGGTTCCACTATGGAAGTGAGGAAAGACAGACAAAGGTACTTAACTTAGTGTGACTGCAGTACAAACTACCAGAGTTTGGTTGGTCATTAGGACACAAAAAGTATACAATGGATAAAACAAAGGGTTCAAGAACAGTGTGAGCCACACAGTCAAGTAAAATTTTAAATTTCAAATAGACTAGAAAATAGGGGGCTGGAGAGAAGGCTCAAACAGTTAAGAGTACTTGCTACTCTTCCAGAGGATCTGAGTTCAGTTCCCAGCACTGACGTGGTGGCTAATAACTGTCTGTAACTGGAGTTACAGTGCCCTTTTCTGGCATCTGTGGACATTGCAAACACATAGTGCACTTACATACATGTAGGCAAAATACTCATACACATAAAATAAAAATACGTAAAGAGAGAGAGAGAGAGAGAGAGAGAGAGAGAGAGAGAGAGAGAGAGAGAGAGAGAAAGAGAAAGAAAGAAAATAAATTGCCAGGGTGACACATCATGCCTTTAGTTCTAGCACTTGGGAGGCAGAGGCAGGCAGATCACTGTGAGTTTGAGGTCAACTTGATCTATATAGCAAGTTCCAGGCCAGCCAGGGTTATACAGAGAGACCTTGTCTGAAAAATTAGACGGAAGCCGGGCGTGGTGGTGCATGCCTTTAATTCCAGCACTCAGGAGGCAGAGGCAGACGGATCTCTGTGAGTTCAAGGCCAGCCTGGTCTACATAGTGAGTTCCAGGACAGCTGGGGCTACAGGGAGACCCTGTCTCAAAAAGACCAAAAAAAAAAAAAAAAAGATGGAAAAAAAAAGACTAGAAATCCTTTTGTAAGATTTATTTCACCTAGTAACTGCAGGTGATTGACATTGACAGTTTCTCATTGTTTCTAAAGAATAAATTTCTTCTAAAGCTAAAATTTCTGCTTTCAGAAATATTACTTCTCAGAAACATGTTGTTAGGGTTCGGATCTACAACCCCTCCCCAAAGCAACAGGGCATCATGGTTTTGCAAGCCCTCTGGAATTACAGGAACTGAGTTAATGAGCGCTCTGCCTGCAGACAAGAGAAATAGACAGACTCCCTACACCTATGACCTAAGACCCAACTGCTACAAGAGCTGTTTTGGTACACCTGTCCAGGTAGTTATATCTCTGCACGGACATATAGACTTCATCCCTCTGTGCCAAAGTCTTTGGCCCCTCTCCACTGTTTCTGCAACTTGGTTGCTTTGTTGTTGTTCTTTTATTATTTTATTTATTATTTCTGTTTTATGTACGAGTGTATTGATTGCATGTATGTAAGTGCACCCACGTAGTGCAATGCCTGCTGAGGTCAGAAGAGGGTGTCGGATCCCCTGGAACTAGAGTTACTGACAGTTATTAGCTGCCATGTGATGCTGGGAATTGAACCTGGGTCTTCTGCAAGAACAGCCAGTTCTCTTAACTGCTGAGTCATCTCTCCAGCCCTTTGTTGTTGTTCTTGAAGAAAATTTTTTAGGGAAAGGTGAATACAAAAAAAACTGTGACTGGCTGGGCATGGTGGTGCACACCTTTAATCACAGCACTTGGGAGGCAGAGGCTGGTGGATCTCTGTGAGTTCAAGGCCAGCCTGGTCTACACAGTAAGTTCCAGGCCAGCTGGGGCCACAGGGAGACACTGTCTCAAAAAGACCAAAATAACCCCCCCCCCAAAAAAAACATGAATGGCCAGGTATGGTGGCGCACACCTTTAGTTCCAACATTGGGGAGGCAGAGGCTGGCCTCAGTCTGATCTTCATAGTGAGTTCCAGGTCAGCTGAGGCTATAGGGAAACCTTATCATGGTGGCGCACTCCTTTAATCCCAGTACTCAGGAGGCAGAGACAGGTAGATCTCTGTTAAGTTCAATGCCTGGCCTATATAGGGAGTTCAGGCCAGCTGCGACAGCAGGGAGACCCTGTCTCAAAAAAGACAGAAAAAAAAAAAAAAAAAAAAAAGAACCATCACCACCACCAACAATAAAAAAACCTGACTGCAACACCAAAATATTTACAAATGATGGTTTGTAATAGGTGGAATCATGGGTGTATTTTCTTTTTACTATTTTGCATTTAACAAACACATATTTTATACTTCCAAAATATTCCTAGCCTGAAGAGATAGCTTATCAGCACTTCCTGCTTTTCCAGAGGTCCCAGGTTTGATTCCCAGCACTCAAATGACAGCCATCTGTAACTCCAATTCCAGGGGATATGACGCCCTTTTCTGGTCTCCTAAGGCATTACATGCAGATGGTGCACACATACAGGCAAAATATTCATATACACAATAAAAGTAAACAAATAAAACAATTCTTCCTGCTTGGTACGGTGGCATACACCTGTAAATCTCAGTACTCAGGAGGCTGAGGTAGGGAAATCTGTAGCTTATGGCCAGCCTGGGTTACACAGAGAAACCCTATCTAAAACAAAACAAACAAAACAAAACAAAAAAACCCAAACTCCTTATTTCCAAATCCACATATCTTAAAACTATTAAGGCTGAGGAGAAAGTCACAACATTTCCAAAAGTCTACTTAAATAATATTCACTCGAGAGCTTGGTTGGCACTGTTCAATATCAGCTGATAGCCACATCTGGCTATTGAAACTAAAATTAATGCAAATAAAAAATGCAGTTCCGGGGCTAGAGAGATGGTTCAGTGGTTAAGAGCTCTTGTGGAGGATCTGGGTTCAATTCCCAGACTCCAAATGGTGGCTAAAAACTGTCTATAATTCACCCTTTCTGACCACCATAGACATTGCATGACATGGGTGCACTTACATGTAGGCAATACACTCATACACATAAAATAAAAATAATAAATAAAAATGAAAATGCAGTTCCTACCTGGGTGTGGTAGCCTTTAATTCCATTACTTGGGAGGCAGAGGCAGGTGGATCTCGATGAGATCAAGGCTAGCTTGGTCTACATAGAGAGTTTCAGGCCAGCTGGGGAGACCCTGTCTCAAAAAACAAAAGGTAGTGAGAGACTGCCCCAATTTCAACCCAAATAAATCTGGTCCCAATATATCAGCGGTTTTCAAAGTTTAACTTGCAGATAGTATACCCTGCAGGCTGAGGGCAGCCTTAAACTTTTCAGGTCTAACAAGAGCCCTGTGGAGGAGACACTGCAGGTCCGAGGACTACACTTGGGCACACTCTGCTTAAATGACCTTGATTATGATGTCTAATCTCATCTGGTCAGTTTCTCAACTGTCAATGAGGTTACATGATCATCTATGATAATGGCATCTTTCTATCAACCTGCTGGCAGGATATTCAATTTCCAATAGGTCTGGCACATGGCTAATTGCTTAGAAGAAGCCGAGGGCCTGGGCCTCACTTAACTCAGCGCACGCCCCGCCTCCACCGAAGGAGGGGCTCCCCGACCCGGGCAGGCTCAGGCAGGCCCCACCGCCACGGCCGGCCGCGCCGCCTCCCACGCCTCCTGCTGGGGGTGAGCGCCAAACACCTGCCCGGAGTCAAAGTGCCTGGCCACCTTACAGGGCGGGTGTTGTTTCGAAACTGTGTGGATCCTCCCTGCACCCAAACTTTGGGGTCCTAGAAACTGAGACGATCAATACCAAAAGGTGGATCAATACCAAAAGTCAAGTAGCTACTGGGATTAGGCTCAGAAGAGATGGCAGGAGCAAAAATCATGGCAGGTGCTAATCAGGTTGCTGGAAGGGAATTCCCTGTAGAGCTTTCTAGAGCATATGCGGTAAATGAGAACACTGAATTGAGGGGCCAACAGCTCAAAAGCAGTTTGATTCCTGTGTCCTATGACTGACATTCTGAGAGCCAAAGATGAACCTCAGCTGTCATTCCTCAACTGCCATCCACCTTGTTTGAGAGCGGGCTTTTCCTGCAGGGCGGAGTCCCTGCGTCCTGCTCCTTCCCTGAGGACTCGCGCCCCCTCCTGACCTCTGAGGACCACTGTCTCCTGTCTGCCTCGGTTTCTTCCAGGCCGCTCCGCACCTCTAACAGGGCTACGGTGTCTGGACAGCCGCAGAGGTCACGCAAACCACGCGCAGAAAGTGAACATGGCAAGCCCCCTTGTGATGTCGTCACCACCTCTCTTTTTACAAAGCAAGAAGCCGAGGCGCTAGGCAGACTCCAGATGGTACAGGGACGTCCCACCAGCCTCCCAGGCCAAGACTGACGTGCTCCCCCCGTCCGCCCCCCCCCGGGCAAGGGTCCTCTGGGGACATGGGGATGCAGCCTTCCCGGTCCCCCGGAACCCAGAAGGGATGTCACCATTGCCGGGGCAAGGACTTGGCGTCCTTGGAGCTACCGTTGGCGGCTCTACTTCCAACTCGAGTCCCGGGTATCTCAAAGGATACGATGGCTGGGGCCGAGGGACGGCAGAGGTGTCCCAGAACCAACTGCAGCCGGGTGCCAGCGTGCGACCAGTCCATGACTCAGCTTAGAAGAAGCCGAGGGCCTGGGCCTCACTTAACTCAGCGCACGCCCCGCCTCCACCGAAGGAGGGGCTCCCCGACCCGGGCAGGCTCAGGCAGGCCCCACCGCCACGGCCGGCCGCGCCGCCTCCCACGCCTCCTGCTGGGGGTGAGCGCCAAACACCTGCCCGGAGTCAAAGTGCCTGGCCACCTTACAGGGCGGGTGTTGTTTCGAAACTGTGTGGATCCTCCCTGCACCCAAACTTTGGGGTCCTAGAAACTGAGACGAGGTCACTCAAGGATCCATGGCTGATCTAGGATCTAAGCTACACTCTTAACTTCATAGTTTTAACCTATGAACAACTACTCTATAAACTTTTCCTTCCACTGCAGAACCAACAAGAATTAGAATGTTTACCCATAAAAATCATCCGTTCAACGGGCGTGGCAGCACACGCCTTTAATCCCAGCACTCAGGAGGCAGAGGCAGGAGGATCTCTGTGAGTTCAAGGCCAGCCTGATCTACATGGTGAGTTACAGCTACAGCTCAAAAAGACGACCAAAAAAAAAAAAAAAATCTGTTTAAAAGGAGACATTTGAGTTAGTGTGAATCCAGTCCAAAGTATTAGAAAAATTGGTAGTCATTTTTAAAAAGTGTTTGAAATAAGTGATTCCCAGAAAAGTCTGATCCATGCAGTCTAGTATAATTATTTTTATTTTTTACTACATTTTACTTATTTGTATGTCGGTGTGTGGACGTGCTTAGCACTTATGGAAGTCAGAAGACAACTTATAGAAGTTGGTTCTTTCCTTCCACCATGTGAGTTTGAGGGATTGAACTCAAGTCCTCAGGCTTGCACAGCAAGCTCCCTTCCCTCTGAGCCATCTCACTGGCCTCCAGTCTACTATAATTTGAATTTTCTTACGGAACCAAAAAATCTTTTCATTATGGCTCAGCAATGTTTGCTTCCGGCACCCACACGGTAGCTACGACCCCTAACTCCAGTTCCAGGGGATCTCACACCTTCTGGCATCTGAGAGCATTGTACACACAGGATACAGGCAAAACACCCATACATATAATAAATACATCAAAAAATAATAAGCAAGTGGACCTCTGTGAGATCAAGGCCAGCCTGGTCTACATAGTGAGTTCCAGGACAGCTGGGGCTACAGGGAGACCCTGTCTCAAAAGGACCAAAATGATAATTTAAAAATTTTCCTAGGCTCTCTTTGAAATTTAACCACTACACTTAATCTCAATCTCTTTGTCTCTCTCTGTCTCTCTCCTTTCCTCTTTCTCTCATTTCTTTAGCTTAGTTATCTCTAGGTTGCTTCCTCATAAGCACGTTATCATTTTTTAAATGTTATATTTATATAATTTGATCACAGTGCCATAGCCCAGAAAAGACAGGCAAGTAGCAAGAATAGCTACTTTCTGTTTTCCTGCAATGTCAGGACTCGATCCAAGCCTGCCCTTTGGCCTTGACCTTTGGGTCTTTATTCTTCCATGTTATTCTTCACCAGAGACCAGAGTCCTGTTTGCAGAATACCCAGGACGCTGATTACCTTGCTAGCTCCTAACCGCATTTGCCCAACCTGAGCATTCCGGTAGGCGCTTGACCCTGTGTGGATGGCTGGGACTTCTTTTTACTTGGGAAATGGGAGTTGTCTTACTGCCCTCACCTGGTGGAAACTTGGAACTGCAAAGAAAATGAAGGAAAACTGAATTCAGTTCACCTTTAGCAAAATCAAAGATTAAAATATTTTTTTCTGAGAATGGCTGGTTTCCCTGACCAACAGAGAAGGAAATTACTCGCATGAGATGCAGGATTCCTGCGCATGAGGATCTGGATGCAGTTTCCCAGGCATGTGTGTGTTCCCTACAGCTATATTTTGGGTTTTTCTTATAGTAACTGGGAGTGGAACCCAGGGCCTCCAACGTACTAGGCAACCACACCATACAGGTACAACCCTGTATCTGTTTTGTTTTGTTGACACAGTAGAGGAGGGTTCTTACTATGTTGCCCAGGCTGACCCAGGCCTCCTGGCCTCAAATGACCCTTCTTGCCCCAGGCTCTGAAGTAGATGGGACTACAGGCATACACCACATTTTAAGTTTTTGGTTTTTGAGACAGGCTTCACTGCTTAGCCTCGGCTGGCCTGAAACTCACCCTTTAGCCCAGGCTGGCCTGAAACTCATGGTAATCTTTCTGCCTCAGTTTCCCAAGTGCTGGGATTACAGGTATGAACCACCACACCCCACACAGAATGACTTAAAATGATAACTACATTCAAACAGCTAAGAAAAGAGCATAGCATAAGCAAAACCACTCCAGATTAAGTTGTTAAAGAGTTGTGTACACCTAAGAGAATCTCATTGTATGGTTTTTGGGGATGCTGTTCAGTTGGCAGAGGCATGTCTAGCATTCGTGAAGCCTTGGATTGGACTCAATCTCCAGTACCCCATAAAGTGGATGTGGTGGTATGTTTGTAACCCCAGCAGTTGGGAAATAGAAGCAAGAAGATCAAAAATTCAAGGTCATGGGGCTGGAGAGATGGCTCAGTGGTTAAGAGCACTGATTGCTTTTGCAGAGGACCCGGGTTCGATTCCCAACACCCACATGGCAGCTATGAACCGTCCTTAACTCCAGTTCCAGGGGGATCCAAAGCCCTCTTCTGACCTCTGTGGCATTGCATGACACAGGTGCACTCACATACATGCAGGCAATATGCTCATACACATAAAATTAATAAATAAAATATTTAAAAACTCCTGACTTGATTGGCTGATGAAAAACAATATCAATTCAAAAAAAAAAATTCAAGGTCATTCTCAGCTACATATCTAATTTGAAGCTAGCCTGAACTACATGAGACCCTGTCTGAAAAGAAAAAACAAAGGAAAGAAAATCTCATTATATGAATTAGAAGTTCCTAAATTGAAAAATTCCAAGAGTAGACATAACTACAGGCTGGGTAATTTGGTGGAAAGTTTTTGTTTGTTTCTTTTTTGAAACAGGGTCTGGCTGTGTAGCCCAGCCTGGCTTGGAACTATGTAATCCAGGCAGGTCTGGAACATGCTATGAAGCTGAGGATGATCTTGAACTCCTGATCTTCCTGCCTCCACCTCCCAAATCCCGGGACTACAGGTTTGAGCCATCACATCCAGCTTCAGGCTCCAAGTGCTTAGTCTCCAGATAATGGCAACATTTTGGTAGGCTGTGGAAACTTAGGTGGTAGGGCCTTGCTGAGGTACTTGTGGGTGTATTATCTCTGCCGCGTCCTATCCTACTCTGTCACTGGTCTTCCAGGAAGTGAAGAACAGCCTCCACCAAAGGATGACCACAACTGCCACAGACTGCCACCACCACTAGAGGCCACTGCTACCCTAATGTTTTACCCAAATGCATGGTGCCAAGCAACTATGAAGTGAAGCTTCTGAAACAAGGAACTTAAATAAATTCCTCCTCCTTTAAGTTACTTCTGTGAGCATTTCATTAGAGCCAGGTAAAAGTGTGCAAAGATTCACCCGAGGCCCTTTGTGTCTGGGCTACATGTGGGCTCTACACTGAATGAAAAATGTCCCTTAATTTCACTCCTATCTTTAAAAAAGGTCTATTTTTTTTGTGTTTTTGAGACACGGTCTCCCTGTAGCCCCAGCTGTCCTGGAACTCACTATGTAGACCAGGCTGGCCTCGAATTCATAGAGATCCACCTGCCTCTGCCTCCCAAGTGCTGGGATTAAAGGCGTGATCCACCACACCAGGCTAAAAAAGGTCTATTTTTATTGCTGTTATTATTATTTTTATCTTTTTGAGACAGGGTCTCCCTATAGCTCCAGCTGTCCTAGAACTTCCTAGGTAGACCAGGCTGGGCTCAAACTCACAGAGATCCATCTGCCTCTGCCTCCCAAGTGCTGGGATTAAAGGCATGCACCACCATGCTCAGCTTTTATTATTTTTAATTGTTGTAGGATTGACTTTTATTAATGGACATAATCTGGACTGCTAATTAACCCCAGTAAAAGCATGGATCTGATGATTGGGGCATCTCCTTGGCAAACTCAGTTTGGTACTCCACCCCAAAAAATAATGAATGTGGATATGCTTCAGAATTAACATAACAAAGCACCAACAGCAGCATACCCACCCATCTCCATTGGACACAGTGGAGATTGGGAAAGTACATGTGACCTTGGTGAGTGAAACACTAGGGATGAAAAGACCAGATAGTTGGTCTATGAAGATTAACAGTGGAGCTGAACTTGAATTTCTACTTCCCCAATGAAGCTGGAGAAACCATTTTGAATAAATTATGAGTGTGTTGGGCAGGATGGGACAGATAGGATGGGACACATTGGGAGATACAGGGTTCCAGAGACAGTTCAGTCAGTACAGGGTGAAAACACAGACAGCTCCATCTGCACAGGTAGAGGGAGCAAGAGAAATTAATCTACACAGTTCTGGGACACACATGGTTCTAACAGCTACCTAGGGGAGGGTAGTGTCCTCTGAGTTCAGGCTCTCTCTTAAAAAAACTTAATTTAGCAATCAGTCTAGGGACTGGAGAGATTGCTCAGTGGTTATGAGCACTGGGCTGCTCCTCCAGATGACCTGGTGTCACCAGAGTTCTCGCTGGATCTCTTGCACTATCATGCAAACCATGTAACATATCTTTATGTGCATTTATTATAATCGTGGGGGGAGAGAGGAGTGACTTACAAAGAAATGAGCACCCAGTGCCTGGCTCTGCCCCGCTCAGCACCAAGGCTCAGAGCCCGCCATATCAGATTACGGGAGCAATCTGATAGTCACTGCTAGCTTTCACCCACACCTCAAGGGCCCATGGTCTCACTCCAGGTCCATAAGTGCCAGGCCATTCTGTCCTTGAGTACGCTTGGCTGCTGTGCATTCCCCACGCCCACCGCACCTCCCATCCCAAGATGGCACCACATGCTCCTCCTTCTGAGGCTAACTCTCCATAGTCAATTCTCCTCAGCAGGCCCAGCCCCTTGGAGGAACCAGAACCCCTGAACACCTGGGTTTGGTTCCCAGCACCCATATGGCGGCTAACAACTCCAGTTTCAGGA